ACAACAATCGAATTGAATTGATCAACAACGTTTGACAATCAAATGTTCAATTACAGAGTGTATTTGATAGAATGAGAATTTCATTTTGATTGTGGAGTAAAATGAACGAGAAATTAGCAGAGGAAAATGCTTTCGGAGAGAAAAGCTATGAGAGCGATTGTAATAGCAAGGAAAAGAATGAAAATCCTGTTGAAACGAATGAAAACCCCATTAAACCCGGACGACCTATCTGCATTCTATCATAACGTAAAAACTACGTGGAATATCAATTCCCCGACCCCCTCCATTACCCCTTAACACCTCCAAAATACCCAAAATAGGTAATTTCACTACCTATGAGAATCACTGATGTAGATGGTGTGTTGCACAGAGGGTATTTGGAACCATAGTCAGTGATCTTTTGCTCAGTATTTCATAATCAAAATTATACGCAAATTTCAGGATCGTTCAAATGCGAAGTCATCAGAAAGGAATTACAGAATTAACTGACATTGATTCAAGCGCGTTGATTGCAAGACGTATCGCATACTGCTGTTTCTCGAGATTCATTCCATTCGTAATGATTGTACATTGATCACTGCTAGGAAGTGGGATTTGCATAACCGTTTTGTCTGGATTCTTCATACGCTTAATATGGGCTGCATCCGGTTCATAGGGTTCATGACGGAACAAATAAATTGTGGTTTGCTTGAAAACGAAATGAATATGTTCTTCGTTACGACTGAACACTGCCATATTCCCACTCGTAGTGACACAGTGCCAAAAAGTGCCGAATTGCTCCTCGCAGTGTTTTTTTATCAAGCGCGCCTGGAGCATTTGATTGTTTGCGTATCTGAAGTTTGAATGGTCTGAATAATTTATTGTTTCCAAGTTAACATGAATGAGTCGATCATTGGTAAAATTTGAGCATGAAACACTGGAAATACCCCCCCCCTCCTTAACTCCATGACTGTGGAAGATTGAAGGATTGCTATCGCAAAANCCCCCCCCCCCCTCCTTAACTCCACGATTGTGGAAGATTGGAGGATTGCTATCGTCACTAGCATTACTGCTATGGCAAAAAAATGTTATGATTCAAGACTTCCGATACCAGTAAATCGTTTGCCACTCACCTTTCGAGGGTTTTTGCAGCCGTCTTTATAGCAAATTCCAGATTATCATTGGATGTCGTTGACGACAGAACGGTGACGTTTGGGCCGAAACGAGTCGAGTCGTCGAGAAAGAATGCCGGATGTGATATATGCGACCGTTGAAGAGCCTGCTCGGCTTCTTTGGCTAGGATTTCATTCCAGTACGATTCATCGACGAACTCTTCGTCGGCCTCGAAATCCGCCTCGTTGATCGCCTTCTCCTCATAGCCCTCATCCAACTCCTCACCTTCAAATGTCCGATCATCGTATCGTTCCGAGATAACCGACGATTCACTCGAACGTTCACGATCCGCATCCGACACAGTGCTTCCGCTCTCGTTACTTGTAGCCACCAGACTGCCCTCCGATGGAGTATCGTTTAAGGGACGACGACGCCAATCGTCAGTCGAATTCTCTTCGTGATCGAATTTCTCATTGTTTGATTCCTTTAGCGGCTTGCATTGTGCTTGTTCTGGCTGTTGTGATTCTCGCTCTTCGCTGAGCGTTTCATTAGGTCTCCAATCATCAGCCATGGTTTAGTTAGCTCCAAATCTGCAAATTCACTTCATTACAACAGTGGTCATGGATTTGATCCCTACAGATCGATGCGTTATTATCGTGTACGAATTGCCAGGGATGTTATTACAAATGTGTTCTCGGTGGAATAAGTGAACAAGTCGTACTGAAATTCCATCGTTCTCGCACTCATAGAGCTCCATCTTTAACCACATGGCATCAGGATCTCGTCAAGTTATTCTCTTTCAGACAAGANCATTCATCTCGCATGTATACACGTATTGGTTTACAACCATCTCATTGTCATTATTATCGCTACATAGATATATTACAATAATTTACATAAGTTATAGTAGCTGAAAATCCGACCAGTCGAGGCGATCGGAATGAGGTAAATTTACTTAAATACATTAAAGTAGTACTGAAGAATGATTGTCATACTATTTTCTAATATTCTAAATGCTACATTCGTGTCAGCTATAACATAATCAAGTCCAACGCGTTTCTCTAGCGGTGATCTATTCTGGAGGGTAAGATAAATGAGAGTTCGACTCGCTGATTTCTACATCTCAAAGTCGATTCGACTCACGATCAGTAAGACAATTGGAGAAGATAAAATTTTTAAAACTGAATGCACCCAATTCGATATGTCAGCAGATATATATGTACGCACACAAACACGGTATGTTCAGAGCTCATGAACGATGCCAAACAAACAAAAGTGCTTCGTCTGTTTTTGACTGCAAAGAAAAAACATTTTCTTTAGTTTTTTATAATCTTGAGTCGTCTATTCCCTGACACCATAACGCATTCACATGCATTGTTGCGATGATGCACCGTGTTTTTAGCATAGAAATATCAAAAAAAAACTTTTTCCTATTTCCTATGAACTACTAATCCATATGAATTTCTGCTGAATTTCTGTTGAAGAAACTGAACTGAACCGTAGACTCTGATGAAGAATGTAAAAAAAAATTGATCGCCCGACGAGCACATTCAAAAAAAGAACCCAAAAATTATCATCAACTAAAACAAACAGAAATTACGACGCAAGTGCAATTCAAAGGAATATTACCGTCCAAACGAATACTCGATTACAGCAAAAATATTACCGTCTCGATGATTTTGCAGTTAATGAAAGCACGCACAGACTTCAGTGAACCATTAGGAGATTAGTTTCAGCCCTCTTAAAAAAATGAATGGTTCTCATTCTGTGCACTGAAATGCTAACTTGAATATTATGCGTGACAGGAGGAGAGATCATTCG